AGAAATAACACTGATCTCAACTTACATGGTAAGTAATAAAAAGAAGAATCAAGCTAGCTGACGTGCCACACAGAATAGAAAATAGAAAGGATGAGCTCTCACAGAAGGGAATTGTTTCCAAGTCTGAACAAAGGGGCAGATGGATTAGGCCAGTCTGAGCCCTAACTCCGCCTCTCAGCAGCTGGGCCCCTCACCTGATCTCTCTAAGTCAGTGTTTTCAACCATAAACATAATGACAACAATACCTGTTCACTGGATGGCTTGGTGCAAAGGTGAGAACCAGAATGTCCTTGAAAATACTTTAAAAACTCTCTAAGTGCTGTGCTCTTTAGCTGGAGTTACAGCAGGTATCGGGTCACTAAAATATTTTTACCCACAGGCTTTTTTTCTCCTTTGCCTCTCTCCCTGAGGAGAAAGACAATGGAAGTAAAACCAAAGTCATTATCTTCTTGTCAGTCAGGTCTTGGCTGCTTCTCCTCCCTGGCGGCACATCAGAATCACCAGGGAACCCTCACCCCACCCCAGGCCAATTGCCGCAGTCCCTCTGGAGCAGGGTGTGGACCTGAAGCTTTTACTTCATGCACCCTCTGGATGTCCTTGAAGGGCCGCTGCCTCAGCCTGAGTGGTCACATGGTTTACTTGCTGAGGACACCGCCAGCCAAGAAAGAGAGCTTTTGCTTAAATGAATCTATTAAACAGTTGCTTCAAATTCAACCTCGCTGGTCCCTGGAGGTCTGAAGCTGGCCTGACCTCACTGAGTTAAATGGACATACTTTCCTTCTGGCCTTAGAGAAGTATATTAACATGCATCTTTATAGGGTTATTCAACATTGAATAATTATATCCTCTTTAATCTAATATAATTATAAGGACACGCTAAATAAATGCACAAATAACCCAAGACACATTCAGTACATGGCTTCTACAACACATAACTTTGACTCCTTCCTGTTTTCTCTCTTCTGTGCCTACCCATCTCTTTGCTAAAATGATGTTTAAATTCAGAGTTTTTTTAAAAGCTAATTTTAAGTACTTTATTTGTTGTGACTGAGTTTCTTAAGCCTCTATAATGAAAATATTAGCAGTTTTGGGTTAGTTTCAAGTCCGAGGTACTCATTAGTAAGGGGTCTTCCAAGGTGACTGTTTCAGGTATTTTCCTTTTTAAAGTTTTTTTTTTTTTTTTTTTTTTTTTTTTGCATAGAAGAACTGGGATGTAGGCTGGAGGTGTGGGGGTGGGGGTGAGAGGATTCACCAGAGACAGCGGGGAACAGATCAGGCAGATTGACCGAAATATACTGCTGAGGGAAGCAGCGGGCAAGTCAGGAAGGGTCTGCTGCGCCACATGGGTAGCTCCCTGGCTGGAGATTGAACACACACCGCAGTGGCTGCAGACAGCTTCATAGGTTGCGTCTTAACCTGCTGCGCCAGCAGGGAGGCCCTCTAGTATCACCTTTTTTCAGAAGGTATCAACATACATTTGATGGAACTCATAGTTTTTCAAACTATCCCTGAATTAAAAGAAAAGCTTTCTCTTATTAAAACCAAAACAATTTTCATACAACTTTGCAGGAATAACCAATGGTAGAAGGCCTGATTGGAAAATTTGGTCCTGACGTATCTTGGTAGGATATAAATAAATGTGTACTGAATGTCTCCTCCTCAAAACAGAGATCTGTCCTGTAGCCTTGGAAACCAGGAAGAACAGTCCATGGCAGCAACTTCTGGCTAAACACAAATGTCAGGCTGCTGGGACCCAGGTATTTCTCTCTTCAGGGCCACATGTCCTCTGGGATGTGGCCACACTAAAATCTGTAGCACCTTTGTAATATCATCCTAGCCACATCAGTGGCCTATCTTAGCTCCTGATTCATACTCTGTGCCCACAATGTTCTTATATTGACAACTATCCCATACATCCATCCATTCACTGTTAGGTCTTCTAAACCCAGAAAATATTCATCTTCTGTAGATCAAGCAACTGCAAACTGGTTTTTCAATAGCGGTAAATGCACATAGCATAAAAAGTGCCGTGTGAACCATTTTTAAGTGCACAGTTCAATAGTGCTAAGTACATTCCCGTTGTGTAACCCATCTCCAGAACTCTTCTAGTCTTGCAAAACTGAAATTCTATCCCCATTAAACAACCCTCCACCCCCCTCACCTCCCAGCCCCCTAGCAACCACCATTCTGTTTTCCGTCTCTATTAATGTGACTGCCCTAAGTACTGTACAATGGAATTGTGCAGTATTTGTCTTTTGGGCAAACAAAATTTTAACCATGATTGTTAAGCTCAAAGCCAGAAAGCAGATCTAAAAATTAAACTATGGATAAATATGTAAAACAAACTCATACACATTCATACACACACACACAGAGAGAGAGAGAGAGAGAGAGAGAGAGAGAGAGAGAGAGAGAGAGAGACTGGCAGACACATGCTTCTTACAGAACTGAGTTTGGGACAAAGTCCATCAGTGGGGCCCTGTTTTGCAAAACTGCTGCTCCAGGTGTTTCACCTGGATGCACAGAAAAGAAAGGTGTGCTTGTGGCAACTGGGAAGGGTCAAGGTCTTTCAAGTTATACAAGAATGGACCTGTCGAGAGGGTTCTCAGGATGCAACCTGGAGCTGACATCCAACATGAAACCAATTGCAAAAGGGAACGGCAACCACTTCGGAGATCAAATCCAGGGCCAGGTGTGTTGAGGCCCCAGGGCTCGGAGGTCTAGCCTGGGAATTTCACAAAAGACCTCCTGGTTCAGCAGGTTTAGCTTTGAGGATTTGTTTCTGTGCCTCCCAATGTTATCTGTGCCTCCCTTGCCAACTTGGCCCAGGGTCAAGGCAGGCTGGATCCAGGAGGAACCGGGAAGCAGGTGCCCTGAGGACTGCAACAGGAAGCCCATTAGGAACAACTTCTGTCTCTTCATTCAAAACCACTGTGTTCTTGTTTTACAAAACATACTGGAAACTTTGCTCTGGTTTGTGAGACATTGCTGGCTGCCCAGGTGTGGCAAGGCCAGAGTGGAGCCCAGCTCAGGCTGGCTATCTGGGCAATCTATACCATCACAGGATGCAGTGCAGCTTTGGGGCTTCTCCTGTCCCCCTGAGGTAGAACTTCTGTAATGTGGGTGGGACGGTCCTCACTGGGGCTCAGAACTGTTATTTTCCCCCTCTCTACATCTGTTGCTGTGCTGTGCAACTTATCTGGATAGTTCCATTATGTTATTTCATACCTTGAAGATTTGCAAGGCACTGTGGGGTCCCACATGCTTCCACTGGGTCCTTGTCCACCTACCTTGCTGAGAGGCCTATTCTGGTGACACCTTCTGCCCCCAACCTGCACATGGCTTCAGACCTCTGTGGAGTCCTCATCTCACCTGTCTTAGCATGGTGGCTCCTTAGGTCCTATGCAATGTTCCCTGTGGCCCAGGTGCTGGGGGGAGAAAGAACTTCCTCAGGATGTTGTGGTAGTAGCCATGGTAGTTTGGGCTAGGACAAAAGTGAGGGCATGGAAATGAATGACATGGAGACAGCCCACATGTCTCCTCCCCTCTTTCAGACAATTCAGTTTCCTTCTCCCCCATAATATCCCCCCACCCGCCGTGGACAGGAGGTAAGTTAATGTCTGTGCTGAGGTCTTTTCCCTCTTCCTCTCCCCCTTTAATCTCTTCTTCCCTTCTTCTCCCTCTCTCTGAATTTAGTGTTCTTTTCAACATTAAACATACATTTGGGCCTCCCTGGTGGCGCAGGGGTTAAAGTCAGCACTATCAAGCTATCATCAGCCACTGCTGCACAACACAAATTTGATCCCCGGCCAGGGAGCTAATCCACATGGCGCAGCAGATTGCGCCTGTCTTTCCCGCTGCTCCCCTCAGCAGTGTATATTAGTAGATCTGCCTGTTCTGCTCCCCACTCTGTCTCTGGTGAATCCTCTCACCCCCCACACCTCTGGCCTACACCCCAGTTCTTATATACACTAATAAATAAATCTTAAAAAAAAATACATTCACTTTAAACTCCAACAATTCCACTTCCAACTATTTACCTAAAAGAAGTAAAAACGGGGCCTCCCCAGTGGCGCAGCTGTTGAGTGCTGGGCTGCGAAGCTGCCCGCAGCCTCTGCAGCAGCGGTTCGATCCCAGGCCGCCGGGCGAGGGTCCCACATGGCGCGACAGACCTCTCCTGCCACCCGCTGCTCCCCTCAGCAGTGTATTTCGTCAATCTGCCTGCTCTGTTCCCTGCTCTGGCTCTGGTGAATTCTCTCACCCTCCTGTACTTCTGACTGTACCCAGTGTTTGTATAAATAAATAAATAAAAATTTTTAAAAAAAAAAAAGAAGTAAAAACATTTGTTTATATACACATATTTACATAAGATTTATAGAAGCTTTATCCATAAAAAACCCCAAACTGGAGACAATCCAGATGTTCATCATGGATGAAAAACTGTGGCACATCCATACAAAAGAATACCACTCAACAGGAAAATGAATGGATTACTATTACATAAAATAACATGAACTAATCTCCAAAACATTAGGCTGTGTGAGTGAAATCAGCCTGATACCAAAAGCTACATGCTGGATGGGTCTGTTTATGTGAAGTTCTGGAACAGGTAAACAAGTGACAGTGGACTGGGGGTTGGCAGAGCCTAGCAGAGGGGTGGGGGAATTGGAGAATACCAAAGTGAATAGGGGAACTTTTTAGAGTGTTGGAAATTTTCTATATCTTGATTGTGGTGGTAGTTACATGGGTAAATACATTCGTCAAAACTCATTTAACTGAACATTTAAAAATGAGTCACTTTATTCTGTGTAAATAGAATACTTGAATAAAGGTTTTGTTGTTTTTTGGTTTTTTTTTTTTAAGCAGCTTAGTCCAGCTTCCCTGAGTGGGTGGCACAATATTGCCTGGAAATGGAAGCTGGAATGACAGGCATCCTGGCCAACATGTCTGGCACAGAGTTCTTAGGTGGCACAGAAGGGCCATTGTGACCCGATCACAGAGTGTCTCTCCAGCCCACCCCGCACCTGGCCCTGAGCCCCCACAATGCACATGATTTGCTTTCCCTGTGTGGGCTCTGCGCTCTGAAACTCCGGATATTTGACTTGCTCCTCTCTTTGCCTTCAGTATCTCCCTCTTCCCCACTCCCCACTTTTTTGCTAGGTAAGTTCCATGCATCCTTTAAACTCAGACTCAGGTGTCCATTCCCCCCTCCTGCAAGCTCTTATTATGGTTGCTCTAGTCATACTGTGTAATAGCCTGTTTACCACTATCCTCCCCCACTGTCCTCCCACTAGTCTGCACACTTCTTGCAGCCAAGGACAGTGCCATCTTTCTCTCTGCATCCCCCTCAAGCTAGCACGTTTCCTAAAACGTGGCTAGGAAACTTTCCTTGAATGCCTCATAGGCAATATGGTAGGCTTCAATAAATTTGCTAAATACATTCTCACTGCCTCCTTAAGAAATAGGTGTTATTCTTCCCAATGTGCAGATGAGGAAAATACAGCTCAGAGAGTCTCGACAATAAGACTGAAGGTCTTACAGGCAGGATGTGGCAGAGTAGGTTCAAGGCCTCAAAGCCTGTTCCCCTCATTCACTCAGTCAACCAAGACAAACGCCTGCTGTGAGCTAGGCATTGTCTGTGGCTCAGAGAACAGGGCAATGAATGACTTTCAGAACCCACCTTCAGGGAACACCTGGAGGCTCACAAGTAGTGGGAAACCAACACTGGATGGAAACATGAATGAATGAATGAATGAATGAATGAATGAATACTAGTTACCTTTCCTCCCCCTTTGCTCTCACAACTACCATGCACCAGTATGGGCAGTCTATGGACAACATTTCCTCCTCCTGTTCTGCCATTCCCTGTTTGTGGGAGTTAGGTATGGGGGGTAAATTGGGAGGCAGAGATTGGGGTTATTCCATGAAATTGTAGGGGAGCAAGAATCTGCCATCCCCCCCCCCAATATCTTTTTTGATAAAAAGTTGACTTCACAGGAGAGGCTCTAAAGGCTGGATGGAAGTTGCTTTTTATTTATTTATTTTTTAAAAGACTTATTTATTTATTTATACAAGCACTGGGTACAGTCAGAAGCACGGGAGGGTGAGAGGATTCACCAGAGCCAGAGCGGGGAACAGAACAGGCAGACTGACAAAGAAATACACTGCTGAGGGGAGCAGCGGGCACGGCAGGAGAGGTCTGCGCACCATGTGGGATCCTCGCCCGGCGTCCGGGGATGGAACCGGTGCTGCAGAGGCTGCGGACAGCTTCGCACCCCAGCGCTCAACCGCTGCTCCACCAGGGAAGGCCCGGAAGTTGCTTTTTAAAAAGATACCTAGGGCCTTCATGGTGGTGCAGAGGTTAAAGTCTCAGCACTATCATGCTATTGCTTCTGTGGCCTGAGTTCGATTCCCGTGCCAGGGAGCTGACCCACATGGTGCAGCAGACCTCTCCTGGCTCATCCGCTGCTCCCCTCAGCAGTGTATTTCAGTAGATCTGCCCGTTTTGTTCCCCACTCTGTTTTTGGTGAATCCTCTCACCCCAGACCTCTGGCCTCCACCCCAGTTTTTGTATGCATAAATAAATAAATCTTAAAAAAAAAGATATCTACCCTAACTTCAGTAAAGGCTTGCTCTGGAAAGACCTCCTCTCCCTACATCTTTTTATTGGAGGAAATAGAATTTAATCTTCATACTTTTATCTACTGTGTCTGTCCCAGTAACTTCCCAAACTGTTCTTCCCATTTTCCCTGCCTCCCCACCCCCGCCCATGTCCTCTGTCTTAGCTAAACTGAAGCCGTGTGGATGAGTTAGTCAGGCTGGGTCTCTCCCATGTACACAGGAGGTAAACATGCTATTGTAAACTTCTTGATTTTTTTTCTCTACTCACTCTGTCAAATCAGCTTTGACCAAAAAAAACAAAAAACAAAAAACAAACAAAAAAATCAGCTTATTTGGTTATTTGCCAGTCTACAAGGACCCAGAGGAGTACTGGATGGTTTCCTGTGAGCCCAGCAGAACCTCAGCATACCCCATCTCAAAGGCGGTCAGATAGATTTCTCTTACTAGTTTGGTCAATGGAGTCATGGTTTTTTTGGTGGATTTATAGTAACAGCTGTGCTTTCTATTTTATTATTAAAATCTGGCTGGTTTTATTAGCTAGGTTTATGTTGGTACGGCTGCCATTTCTGCTAGAATTTGAGTTTGAAGCATGTGGTCACCACAGATGTAAGGAGCCAAACGTCAGTTTCCCTGTCACTTTATAAATTTATTTATTTATTTATTTTTTTTTTTTATAGAGGCATGCTTTATTTATTTGTTTGCTGGTTTCTTTGTTTGTTTTGTTTATACATGCACTGGGTACAGTCAGAAGCGCGGGAGGGCGAGAGAATTCACCAGAGCGGGGAGCAGAGCAGGCAGAAGGACCGAAGTACACTGCTGAGGGGAGCAGCGGGCGGCAGGAGAGGTCTGCGCGCCATGTGGGACCCTCCTCCGGTGGCCGGGGAGCAGCCGGGGATCGAACCGGCGCCGCAGAGGCCGCGCGCAGCTTCGCAACCCAGCGCTCAACCGCTGCGCCACCGGGGAGGCCCACTTTATAAATTTAATGGCTCTGCCTGTGCCTGGAATAGTGCAAGGATGGGAATGTTCAAACAGTTGTTGTTAGGTACATTTTGTCTGTTTTGTTTTCTGACACTTCATTTCTTAGTCAGATTTTTAAAAAATTGTCTGTGTTAGATCAGGAAATAGCTCAAAGATTATTTCTCTTTTTTTTATTTTTAATTTTCTTAAATTTTTGCATAGAAGAACTGGGGTGTGAGCCAAAGGTGCGGGGCATAAGAGGATTGACCAGAGACAGAGTGGGGAGCAGAACAGGCAGATCTACTGAAATACACTGCTGAGGGGAGCAGCAGGCGAGACAGGAGAGGTCTGCTGCGCCATGTGGATTAGCTCCCTGGCCAGGGATGGAACACTGCCAGAGCAATGATAGCACTGACACTTAACCACTAGACCACTGGGGAGGCACCAGATTATTTCTCTTTACTTGAAAACAAAGTACAGCCTTATATTTGAGGCCAAGAATTCCTTGCTTGCTCCTTTCCAATTCGTTGGTAGAACAAATAGAAATTGTGCTGCATATTTTATTTCAAGGAACTACCTAGAACAATGGAATTTAAAAATTAGTACCTATATGTTATTTCACTTTTATAAGAATTAAACCTATCATCAAAATATGATTAAACCAAATCATTACCATTTATTAGAACATGAATTAATCTCATAAACATATTATAGAGTGAAAAAGGACACAAAAGAGTAGGTACATTGTTACGATTTCACTAACATAAAGTTCAAAAAGAGACCAAATGTTTCTGTGGTAAAGAAATTAGGGCAGTGGTTGTCATGGGGGGGGGCTAGTAAGGTTGGGGGGGCAATTAGATATTGTCACAATTCTAGTTCTTGATTTGGGTTCGACTACACTAGTGTGCTCACTTTGAAAATTTATGTAACAATTTATAACTCTTCTAGCTCTTTACATTATGCATGGACACAGCAACAGAAGTGTGAAATGTGATGGGACCAAATTCCAAAACCTTTTCCGGAGAAAATGAAGGGTTCTTATCCACGTGCCTTTCACCTTCTGAAAACCAGCAGGTGTGACGATAAAATAAAATGTTTTTAGTTTTTAATTTTACTTTATTAAACAAATGGCTTCATTTTTTTTTCTATTTTTAACACTACTTAGAATTTTCTGATTTCTTGTTTTGTTTGATAAACAGTATTTTGGTGCTTGCGCATTGTGATTTATATTGTGATTCCTCATACATACTTGGTTTTTATCCAGAGTTCCTTGTTCCACTGCCCTCAAGTCTCAGAATTTCCTAAATGTTGAGAGTATCGAAGGTGTCTTTTTTTTTTTTAAGATTTATTTATTTATGCATACAAGAGCTAGGCCAGAGGTGTGGGGGGAGGGTAAGAGGATCCACCAGAGACAGAGTGGGGAACAGAACAGGCAGACTGATTGAAATACACTGCTGCGGGTGAGTCACGAGAAGTCTGCTGCGCCATATAGGTAGCTCCCTGGCCGGCTGGGGATGGAACTTGTGCTGCAGTGGCTGCCAATAGCTTCCACTTGGTGAACACGTGAAGATCTGGGAAGAATGCCTGGAGGGAAGGACGTGAAGCACCACCCCCATTCCCCAAGGCTCGTCCTGTGTATATCTCTTCCACACGGCTTTTACTGAGTTATAACCTTTGTAATAAATTGGCGCTGTAGTGAGTAAATGGGTTTCCTGTGTTCTGTTTGCCCTTCTAGGAAATTAATGGTACCACGAGGAGAATGTCCTGGGAATCTCAGATTTATAGCCATTTGGTTAGATGCACAGATAATAATTGGGTTTACAACAGACATCCTGAAGTCTGTGGAGGGAGTTCTGAAAATTTCCTATCTGTAGCCAGCTGGTCAGAAGCCCAGGCGACCTGTGATGATTGTGACCAGTATCTGAAATGAAGGGTGGTCTTGGGAAGCTGACAGGTTGAGTCTCCCTGCTGGTGTCTGAGAATTGCTGTTGGCATGGGGACACCCCTGGAGCAATTGACCGCAGTGCAGCAACACAATGTTGTAACTAGATGAACTCACCAAGATAATGCTCAGGGTGTTTTCAGAGAACCCAAGTCAATCAATTCTGCAAACTAAAGAGTTAACACTAACCTACGACCTGATTACAAAAGAAAAAACGGTCCCAAAATGGGGGTTCCCACCCAGTCTTATTATCATATCCCTGCAGTTTCAACTTTCCCAAAAGTGTGATCTTAAACTAATTAATCTGTAGTTTTCTGGTCCTCTGCATAAGAACCCCTTGCTTTTCCCTGAGGGAAGGTGGCTCTACCTGAAATAATCTTTTCTTTTGTAAATACCTTGTCACACCTTCTTTCTATTTATAAATACCCTCTATTTTGTGTAACCCCTTGTAGTGTCTAGATGTGATGCTGCCTGATTCATGAATCATTTAATAAAGGCAATTAGAACTCTACATCTGCGAATTTTGTTTTTAACATACCAATGATGCGTCTCTGTAAATGCTTTCCTCTAATATTCTTTTTTCCTATTTGGCCTCTAAATATTTATATGAATAAAATCATAAGACTTCTTACAAAGACCAAATTCTCTTTCTCATCATCAAAATCTGGTGTTATCATGTTCTTGACTGGCAATCATTGACTGACTCATATTTGCTTCATCAGGCATTCTGTAAAAATGTGGCAGACCTTCTATCTAGCCAGGAATAGAGATCAAAAAATGAATGAGATGAGATCTCTGCTTTTAAGAAAATTTTTTTAAAAAGAGCTATTTATTTATGCATACAAAAACTGGGGTGCAGGCCAGAGGTGTGGGGTGGAGGTGTGTGTGTATGTGAGAAAGTGTAACAGGGTGGTCCCAGGAAAGGGGGAGGTTCCCTGCCCCACCCAAGGGAGGGTGGAGCTGAGGAGGAAGAGGAGAAGCGGCAGAAGAGACTGAGGAAGGAAGGAAGCAGGATTGGAGCCAGGAGACCTGGAGGAGGCGCGTGGAGCCTAGAGACACGTGAAGAAACTGTGCTTGTCTTTTGGTCGTGGACTGGGTGACACAGATGTGGGTGAGACCGTGGGGAGGTGACAATGGCAGCTTTTATCTGGATGTTGATTTTGCTCTTTTCCTTCCGGGCTTGTCCGGTTGTTTGTGACCCTTTTCTGTGGGTCCCCACTGGAAGATGCTTTAGACTTGTGGCAGGCTTTGGGGCCTTGTTCTGGGCCAATCCCATATGGATGGAGTTTTACCCACGAGGGGATGGGTAACTTTGGGTGCTTCATCTAGAAACTGGACTCTTTGCCTCACCTGTATTGTTTCCTAGTTTTTATTAAAGATCCTTCCCATTAAAGTGTCATATGTTTTGTGTTGATGCGGCGGATGGCGGAACCCATTTAGAGTGGGCAGGTTTGCGGGGTTTGGGCTGCCCCTCTCCTTGTCCTATAACAGATTTGGCGACCACGAAGATTTAGGACAGAGCCATCCGTGGTTAGTCAGCCCCATGGGGAAATTGGGCTTCCCTATGGCACTGGCTACCATAAGCGCAAATGTGATTTTGGTTTCTCCAGTGTGTTTGTTTCATATGTCGATTTGCTGTTGAAAAACTGGCTTGGGCTTTGTGAAGATCTGTGTGTCTGTATGTAATTTGTTTGTAGTGACTTGCTAAGACATTTGATTTTGTGGAAATTGTTCTGTTCAACAGTTTTACTCAAAAGATTAGGCAGTACATTGGACCATGTGGCCAGATCAAAGATGGCGTCTGAGGCCACTTGGCGGGCTCTTGTAAAATTCAGAGGTTCTTGTTGCTAGGACTTTGGAACTTTTTTTTTCTTTCTTTTTGTAATCTCTGCTGTCTCATTAGCATTTCTAAAGGCAATAATGGTTCTTCAGTGGTATGTTGCTTTGTCTTTGGCTACTTCCTGCTCTCTGCCTGATGGATTTTGCAAGCCAGTTGTGGAGCAGTGGTGTTTAAATTAGCAAATGTATGCCTGGGTGTTAAGGAAACAGTAGCCTTAAGCAGTAACTGGTAATTGCTGGTATCCTTGATGGATTCCTGGAGATAACTTGAATTTTTGCAAAGTCTGTATCAGAAAAATTAACAAGATTTTGTCTGAGTCTGAAAGGATTTGCTGCTGTGAATTTTGTCTACACAATTTGTTTTGGGCATGTTTGCCATTTTGAATACTGGATTTGTTCAATTGCTGGTGCAAGACAAGATTCTAAGTTTTTGCTTCCTACTGAGGAAGGTCTGTTATGGAAAGCACTTTTTAGGGTGCATCATGTAACTGTACCAGGTTTTCATACCTGTGTTGTTGTCCCTCCCTAGTGTGGGGGAGGTGTAATCTGTGCTTAGATGTTTAATCTGCTTTTTCAGCTTCTGTCCCAGAGTGGCTAACAGAAGTAAGGAGATGACTCCTTTTAATTGAAAGTTAATTACTGATAATTTGATTTTGCTTTTTCGGGTTCTATTCCAGGAAACCCAAGGAGTGCCTGCTTGGTGGCTAACAAGAGATGACTCCTTTTGCTTAAAAGTTAACTGTTACTTTTATTCTTTCAGTTGCTGTACAGAATACCCCAGGATTGACTTCTAATAAAAAGTCTTCAACACTGAAAACCCTAAGGTGATAAACAAGGTCATGTAACTCTTGTGATTAATAAAACTTTTCCTTCCTATTTCCAAAGTCTTAGGTTTGTAGGATGACAACTGGAAATTTTTCTGCCAGTAACACTCCACATTTTTTTGGACTTTGACATTTTTTTTCTGAGCCTATGGAGTAAAACTGCAGTTACCTAACATATTCCACGTGGCATAACTAAAAAAAAAAAAAAACTGTCTTTGTCTACATGTTGTATGTCTGTATGTCCTTGTGTCTAACTGTCTTGGCCTCTAGAGGTTAAAATTGGTATACATGGTGCCCATAGACATTGGGAAAAAAAAAAGAGTCTCCGGTTATGAGAAAAACTAAAGGTTATGGTTTGATTGTCAACATTGTGCTACTGAACTAAGCCGGTGCCTTCATAGACATTGAATATTGTTGTTTCTGTTAATTTTGTGATATTTATGGCAAAGCTTCCCAGAAATCTAAATTCAAGTACAAATTTGGTAGCCTGTCATTTGGCTGATGCAAGGAAATTTCGTGGAACCTCAGTAGAGCTCCTGAGACACTCCACAAAGTTTCTCCCTTTCCTCCTGGGAAGGAATTAGATGAATTTGTTCTATTTGGCTCACCTAGTAGAGTAAAACTGGAAGGGAAGCATTGTCACTTGGGAAAATGGTAAAACTTTGGTATGTACAAAATGTTAACAGTAGTATCTGGTATGTATGTAAATTGTCAATGGTGATTGTCACCTTGTAATATTGTATAATTCAATTGTTTCACACCTACAGAAATTGTTTCCGGAAATATAGGGAGAAAAGGTCTCAACAGATTCCTATTGATGGAACTGTTGAGAGTAAAAAAACTTTCCTACAAAGGACTGAATAGACCTGGAAATACACCTGACATTTACTAAGTTTTCTCTGACATGATACTGGTAATTTTTTATGCATTTTGTCCTGAATCCACAAAGTTTTGTTTTATTTTGTTTTGTTTTGTTTTGAGTAACCAGGATCTGCAGCACGGTTGCAATTTTTTTTCCAGCAAAGCTAACTTGTCACATTTTCTCTCCCCTTGATACCAACACAGCATACAAATAGTGGTAGTAATTTTTGCTACTTATCTCAGAGTCTGTTTTTGCATAACTTCCATAGGGATTTTGTCTGCTTAAACAAAAAAAATTGGACATGCGTTTGATTGTGTGGCTTTGTGTGGAGTTCTTCCAAAAAGTTGAAAAAGAGCTGAACCAAGAAGAGGAGAACCTGTTTGCTTTGTTCGTAGGGTTCCAGAGACCTCCAAAGAAGGTGAGGAAGTTTGCCTCCATTGGCAGGACTGGACAACCTGGCCAACGAAAATGCCCTGGTACCCTCGAGAAGAGGAAAGCCCAGGTGGAGTCTGATGAGACCAACTTTGTACCTGAAGCCTACGTCAACTGGATGCCAATGGTTCGCTCTGATCCTATATGGAGTATTTCAACAAAGCCAGCTAAAAATTGCTGTTAGTTATTTCTGCCCTGTGATTTTATGCAAAAATAGGAAAAATGGTTTAAAAGTAGATTTAGTTTGCAAACTTTTGCTATGCTGTTAAAAGTTTGGGCTCAAGGTTGAGAAAATTTGTGTTTTACATCAGTTGAACCATTTTAACATTTTTTCCCTGTGATTTTGATATATTTGCTATCTTGTTTTAGCCAATGCTCCAGATTTTTTTTTTCTTTTGGCTTGGATAATGGACTATTTTTAAGTAATGAAACTGTCATACTGGACATTCATGGACAATGCTGCTGACTAATTGTTGCTTCTCTTACACACATTGTAACCCTGAAAAAAAGATTGTCTCCTAAGATTACACCCTGAGATCTGTGCCATCATAGATATGGTGGAATAAAAATTAAAAGGGGGGATTGTAACAGGGTGGTCCCAGGAAAGGGGGAGGTTCCCTGCCCCACCCAAGGGAGGGTGGAGCTGAAGAGGAAGAGGAGAAGCGGCAGAAGAGACTGAGGAAGGAAGGAAGCAGGATTGGAGCCAGGAGACCTGGAGGAGGCGCGTGGAGCCTAGAGACACGTGAAGAAACTGTGCTTGTCTTTTGGTCGTGGACTGGGTGACA